TAAACATGTCTCATGTGTATCTTCGTGTATTCAAGGTTTTTTCTATGGCATGACTCCCATGTTATTGCTGAAAATCAGAAGGTCCTCACCAGGCTGTAATAGCTGTTGTCTTCCTGATTAACTCTTTATAAAAGTAGATTTGTGGCTACCCTGGATTTGCTGCCAGTATGAATATAGTCGCATGATTCCTTGTTAAAGCACCCCTGAGTTGGAAGAACTATTTCTTAATTTTTATGGTAGATAGCACACAGTCTTGACAGCTGCATGTTCGCACATCAGACACATCAAGAACAAGAAATCTTTATACCAACTTGAATATTAACTTTGAAGTGAGGGAAATTATGACAATGTTTAAACTGGAATCACCATATAAACACCACCAACGATGACTCTTTGGCAAGCCAACCATCTCCTGAACTGGGGCATTTGTTATTCTTTTTTTTTTGGTAACTTATAGTTTGCTTTGCCTTCATTATAGAATTCTCCTCCAGAAATGAGCAACATTCTTACAATTTCTTTAGAGATGGGACCCTTTCTGCCTTGTCTCCAAAATAGCTCGATAGGAATGAGCATGGTCGGTGGTCACAGATTTGGAAATGAGGACAAAATACTGAGAAGTATAGCTGCTTGTGTATGGGAGCAGGAACAGTTCAATGAGGAATTTCTCACCGAACTCAGTTATGGTGACCTCCAAGGGTAATCCTCCATTTCCTGTCTTATAAGTGAATGGATAGTACTGGAGGAAAATAATTGTACTTAGCAACATTGTTCCAATATCCACTGTGCGAAGAGTAAAGACGTCCATCCAGGGCAGTCCAAAAGAAAACCACGTGTTTTCTTTATTCCTAATGTTAACTTATTTCCAGTAATAAAATCCAGAGAGTTCACTTGGGTTTCCTGCATCTATAAAGGATTTTTCACCTGTTTCATTTTACATTATTAGAAATAATTGATAAACATATAATCACGATTTCAATGAAAATGTTTGAAGATTATTCAGCTTATGGAAATATATCCAGGAAATTTCAGGCCAGTTAGCTTGTGGTTGTTGTGGCTATATGGTAGTAAACACACACTATTATAAATATAATAATGAAGAACAGAAGGATACTGCCTGAGGCCGAGGACCATATGTAATTCTCTGCAAGCCTTGGATTCAGGCTCTAAAACTTGAAAAATTCTAAAAAGCTCTAAAAGTTGTTGCAATTCCAATTTTTACTGTGATTGGAGGGTTTATGTTAAATAATTAAATTGAATTAAATACATTGGGGGTAACCATATGAGCTGCATTTAAATGAATGTAACTTTAATTACATTAAAATTAGAACTAAATTATATTTTGTGGCAGATCCTTTCTGATTCTGGTCGATGTTGAAAAAGCCAAGCTTAGCAGAATTGGTCCTGGTATTTCAATGGATGACCAACAGGAAAACTCTGGATTGTAGCTTACATTGGGAAGCTGAAAATCATCCTGGAAAAAGGCAATGGAAAACCATTTTGATCTGATGCTAAGGAAGCAATATGGGTGTGTCCATTTAGTCGCCAGGAATTCAGCTTGACCAGGAAAAGACTTTATCTTACCTTTTGCCCTGGCCCTACCCTTCTTTCTTCTGGCCCTACCCATTTTCTGAATCTACCCTCCGGCCTGTCACTCATGTTTGCCTCTCTGATATACAGGTGTCCTACTGACGTCCTGCTGAAGAAGAATCAACATCATTTCTACAAAATTAAGTCTTGTCTTTCTACACTTTTATAATTATCTGACAGCAGGGTATGGATAGGGGAGATGATCTGGTAGAAGGCATTTCCCTGGATTTTCAAACATGAGTTGCATAACTAAGAATGTATTCACAGAACAAATCAAAATAGTAGGAACTGAAGACATAGTACCTACCTGGACAAATTTAAAAAAGGATTACACTCATTCATGGAGGATAAGGCTACCAAGGTTTATCAGCAATGCTGTTCAAAATGTGGCAATTTTTCAAAATATTTCCTCCCTACAAAAGGGACTTCTGTTTTCCTACCTGATGTTCAGGTTTTTTATTTTTTTCCCCCCAATAACTCTTGGTGTTTTGATCGGACTTATTGATGAAACTGCTAAAGGACTCAACTGCTGATGTTTTCTATTACATATTTTTTTCATTAGCCTAAAGTCTTCCTGCCTGCCATAATCCCCAAGCAGGGAGGGGGGAAAACTCAATGGGAAGAGTTCCCTTACAATCTCCTTATGATCTGATGGAAATACAGGAATCCAAGATGGCTGCAAACCTCTAAAGAGACAATTATATGATAAAATATAAGATACTCTCACACAGACACTGAGCTACACTATAAGTGCGAGGATACCACTTTCTACCCATTAGAGCCTCACTGAAATTTTTTATCTTTAAATAAAAACAATTCAAAAACAAATGATCTTTCATCAAATTCAGTGTGGATTTGTAAGATGACATTAGTTATCAGTCATAATCCATGTTCTTCTTCCTAGTCTCAGAAGTGGTATATTTCTGGATACCATTTTTGGACTTTCTATGGGCTTACACAATTATCACAGTGGGAACAAACTTTTGGGGTCTTTGAGCCGATCCAAATAATAAGAGTAATGCTGCAATTAAAAAAAAATCCATGATTCTTCTTTAGCTATTAGAAAAATTGGGTAAGTTGATTATTCAGTGTGGCTAACAAAAATAAATAAATAGCAAAGAAAGACGTACTACTTTTCTTTGAATGCTGTTGAACCAGCCACACAGAATATGCACTGGGTAACAAAGACACACAGCTATATAATACAGGCAAGGGGAAAGAACTTGCTGAATGAAAAAAAGGGGTACCTTTGTTGCTAAGCTCTTTGCTAGCTTTCTAAATATAATTTGCTCCAAACCTTTCACGGAAATAGCTTTGTCCCCCAAATGCCCCATGGCTGTGAAGTCTTCTACTTCAATAGGGACAATGCTGGCTGGAGCCTTTAGGAGGAGGAGATTTCCTTGAGATTGAATGCCACATATGGAACAACCATTTCCAAGGTTGTCTACGAGACACATAGTTCCCCAGCTGGTCGGATGTGTCTTGGAAACACGTTACAAAAGAGAAAATGCCCCATATGTTCCCGAAATTATCTTGAAATGAATCTGTTTATTGTTCCTTGTTTAATTAGCTATCTGTAAAGAGCAAGAACTGTGAAGGGTATTCAGAGTTAAGAAGCCAAAGTAATTCTTTTAGCTACCCACAGAAGGAGATGACCAAACTGCTTTTCCGATATGAGTAAGTATGGATCTACTCCATTCACACACTTTATAGCCTGATTTGGACAGTGCTAAACTGTGCTTTACCATCCTATGTATATCCTTGGGCTTTTGTGTTTTTCTCTTCCTTCTTCTCCTCAGGTATGGATTTCAGGTTGAAACCTAAACAATAGGCTATCCTTTACTACAGATTACCAAAACAAGCCAACAGCATAAACCAAGGTTTGATGTAGTGACAATTTGCTGGGGATTGGACATAATGAATGACTGCTTTGTTATGGGTGCATAACATTTTTTGGAAAATGCTATATATTCATCTAACCTAGTTTTCTATAGAGGTAGTCCCCAGGTTAAGAATGCCCGGGTTTATGGATGACCCATAGTTAAGAACGGAGCCTACTGTAGCAAAATTTGAGTTAAATACACAATGATTCGAGTAAAATACACAATAGTTTGAGTTCATTACACAATACTACTTATACAGTATTATACAATACTGTTCTGGCTTACATACACATTTGACTTAAGGACAGACCTTAGGAGCAGAACCCATTCTTAAACTGGGGGCTACTTTGAGCATGTATGACCCAAGGGAATTCCAGACCTCCATCACTGCCATACTGTTATTGTTACTGTTTTTAGGCTGTTCCAGCAGAATTTAAAAGTTTCAGTTTTATGTATTTGAGAGGCTGATCTGGAATTTTCTTTTACTCAAGTGATTAACAATATTATACTCAAAATTCAAAATGGGTGCTGATATAGCTGTACTGAATGCTGACAAAAAAAATTCAGATCATTTGTCTTTAGCCTGTGAAATTAGGCCAAGAGCATATAGCTTTTAGGGCTACAATCATGCCAAATTTCAACATTTTTGTTGAGAAGCCGAGGCAGATTCAGTTGCATTTTAAAGGGGCAGGGGGATTATAAAAAGACAACAATATTATTGTTGTCTTTTTCTTTTTATAATCCCCCTGCCCCTTTAGAATGCAACTGAAGTTTAATTAATGGGAATATTAGATGATTTTCTCCTTCTATAGGGATATGCACTGTATATGAAGCAAAATTTTACAAGTGTAGTTCTGTGCTTCTTTTCAAGAAAAGAACGATGAGTGCAGTTGATTATGATGTTGGATGCACGAGTGTTCTGGAGGAAGTCCAACTGGCTCCCATTAGACCATGGAGGAGACATCCAACTCCCTTAAACTTTAAAAGCTGAAGTGTGTTCAATGTAAAAGTCAGGGTTAAGAGGCTAGCATGGTTTGTATAATTTTGGAAACATGTGATGCCTCCTCTCTCAATTCTACTCACACCTTCTCAATGCCTTTAGGGCAGTTTGAGTAAACGCTTTTAAGCTTGGAGAGGGGAACGTTGAGGGTAGATTGTTTTCTTGCCTGAGGATGGGGAAAACTGTTCTCCCTGCTTGTCTGCAGATTTTATTTAATGGGTTCACACATCATAACCTGTCCAATAAGAGCAGCTGCAGATAGGCAGAGCACGCTGTTCAGATAGATGGCAGCATCTAGTTGAACTTGGCTGATCCTCAAAAGTTAAGAAGGCCAACCTGATCAGTATCTGGGCAGGAGACATTCATAAAACCTCAGGGCTTTAAGCTAGATTGGAAGTCAAAAATATTCCTGAAGGGATAGGCAAGCCACTTCCATATTATTGCCAAGAAAACAACCCAGCTGTGTCCATGAAGCTACCAAGAAAAGATCTTGACTTGAAAGAGACTTTTATTTTTTAAACAATAGCAAAACCACGTCGTGCAGGACCCTGGTACTGTAAAACAAAACATTCACAGGTTGTTGGTGCCCATGGCCCAGTTTGGTGTTTTATTTCTTCAAGGCACTATCTCAAAATGAGGAAAATGGAAGAAGCAGAAGAGGAGAAAAAGGTATCACAGTTTCTCCAGCCATCAGGGGAGACATTCTTGCCCCTTGTGTTGCTTTTTAGTGAGGTCTGTCCATCACTGACCAGCACTGGGGCTATCCAGAAGGAGCAAGGAGAATTGTAACAATCACTACTTTTCCAAACCTAATTCAAAGTACTTATTCTAACCTTTAAAGATAAAGGATCTCAATCCTTACACTGACGTAGTAGTAACTGCTTCTTTTGGCCCTTCCTTGGCAGGTAATAGGGGAAAAAATGACCCCCTCCCTTTCATTTCACTGTCCTGCAATTGCTAGCCTCCATTCAATCAAATGAAACAGAATGTGGTGGAAGTTGGAAAAGGAAGAAGGAAGTGTGACTTTAGGTGGGATGGAACAGATTTCTATCCTGGGGCCTCTGGAGCAAACCTCAAACACTGGTGCGTTGCCACATGCTTTTGTATTTTTGAACATGCTTTGCATGTCTCTATGTTGGTCCCATTTTCAACAAAAGAAACACAGCTTCCTCTCCTAATAAAGACTAACATATTGCCCCCAGCTTTGCCTCAGACCAAATTTTTATGGGAATATTTTTCAAAAGGCTAGCACCTTTGAAAGAGTCACAACAATCAACACAATTTTGATTAAAGAAAGAACTCTGTTTTAATAGGGATTTTTATCATTAAAAAAGTTTAAACCTGCATAGCAATCATTTCAAAAAATAATTATTTAATGTTCCATAATGAAACTGTACACAACCTAGTCTTGAGGACCTGCAGCCTGTGAGGGGGGTTTCAAAGCAGTCCAGCGCACCCAGTTTTTCCTTTGGATCCAGAGCTACTTGGCTACTACATTGGCATGTTGCAAATTTTTGGGTTTACTTGCCCTTGGCGCGGCCTGACTCGAGGATCTGTAGCTTTGCGCTGGGCTAGGTGAACCATCCAGTTCCCATTCCCGCCCACCCCTCGGCTGGGCTCCTCAAAGTCGTTCAATGTCTCGATATTTCTTCCTCAGGATGGAGACCTGATCTTTAAAGAGCACGGGATCGAGCCTCATCTGAGAATGGATCAGCGGCATATAGCCAAACCAGCTGGCGAAAGTGTTCATGCAGCTTTGCCTCTGAGCAAAATGATCTGGGTCAGCCCACCGAGAAGCCCTGGAAGTCTGTAATAAAACAACAAACAAGCCAGTTTTATTCTTCAAAGCTTTTACAGTCCGTTTTTCGGCTGAAAAGATTTCCAGAACTCTTTCCAGAATTATGAAAAACCAGAGCATCTCTACCTCAGGCTTATAATCCTCACTCCTCCTCTACCCTCCCCCAAAACACACACAAGACAGGAGAACGATGGAGAGGGTAAAGGAAATTATGTCAAGAACAGGACTGAAATGCTGGACTGATTAAATAATTTGATTTAAACCTTCCTTCACAGAACAGTCCTGGAAAAAACAACAACAACAACCAATGTATTATCCTGAAGTGGTGTTACTGAGAAATCTGTCCCTTTTTCAGTAGCTGCTTCATTAGTGAGGTAGAATTAGAGGAGAAGGAGGAGTGGAGAACTTTGTCTGTTCTTCATTTCCTACTCTTGCAATTCTTACTGCCAACTACACCCTGCAAGATGTTCTGGGGTACAGTCCCCCTCAGCTTCAGCTTTCCTGATAGACAGATATAATGGGGGTTAAGCAGAGTGCTCAAAACCCCAGTTAATCTGGCAGCAAATTTAAACAGGTTGCTAATCTTTTCCAACTTCTTCCTTCAGGACGGCGCTATAGAGCTCCATATGTTAAAACATCTAGACATCGGAATAGTTT